ACTGCACGTCAAAAAGCTGACATGACAGCTTTGATGCTCCAAAATCTTGGCACTGTTGGAGTATCAAGACATAACGGTGAGTTAGTGATAATTTATGATAAAAAATATATAACAATTAAAATTATAACGACATCAACGGTGAATAATAATTACAGTGGGCACAATAGTCCTATATTTTATCTATAAATTTATAATATATATTATATATTATTAACTTTATGAAAAATACATCGAACATTGTCAACTGAAGAAAATAATAAATGGTAATCATTGCAAATATTAACAATTCGATATCGATTTAATATTTTATCTTAAAGAAAAAATCTCTTCAAAATTTAATTTTATTGAAAGAATATTATCTTCCAATGGTAAAAATAGAAACTGCATAATCAAAGTATTATATTAATAAATTATATTTTTATAATAATTACAAGTGCGTACGAATTGTTTTATGTATAGAATGTCAAAAGTTACGTGTCATTGAAGATCTTAGAAGATCAATTTAAAAAATAAACAGCAAGATTAACCTTGAGCATAATTTTCCAAATCCAATTTTTTTATTGCATTTCTTTTTTTTTACTGTATTTTCTATTTTATCATTACAAATAAAATAAATGAAAACTAATGAAACTTCAACATTTTTTTCAAAAGAACGGTTGGATTGCGATCCATGATTCCTTTGGGACTTTTTCTGCTCATAATAAGTAAAAGATAATGCAATAAAAAATTTTTATTTTAAAAATTATACTCAAGGTCTATTTTGCAATCCATTTTTTAAATAGTTCTCCGTTGATCTAAAGGCATAGAATTATCTCTCAAAATCAAATTATTTATCGATATTACATAAACATAATCATAATCTATTCTAAATACATACATCAAACAATTTAAAGACAAATTTATTATAAATAATGATTTGGAAATCTTGATACTTATTGCTGTTAATTTCCTAGAAATCATCGACCAATAATTTTAAAATTAATTAAATTATATAAATAAAAAAACAATTTATTGTTATGAATAATATAAATTTCATTGAAACAGATTACTACAGATTTTAACTTTAATTAATTACGAGTTATAGCAAACAATGCTGCATGATAAATTGTTAGAGTTTTAAATTTCTATTCATTTCAATAAAATAATAAGCAAGCAATGTTCAATATAGATCAATTGAGAAAAATTTTAAAACAATTGACTACAGAAAAAATAAATAAAAATAAATAAAAATAAAATTAATAAATTAAAAAATAATTATTTTTAAATATTAAAAAAATAAAATCTTTACTCAAAATCAGAATAACCTTTGTGTACTATTGAAATCAGTCTGCGTTCGAATAATCAATATTATCATGTTTTGATAATAAAAATTTATTATGTATTTATTATAATTTTATTGTGTAGTTTTCAAAAAAAAACAAATCGACTTGGATAAATATTATTTATAATTACATTACTTAATGTGTTAAACATACACATAAGAGAAAAAAGATCTAGCAAAGGAATTATTTATTTTTATGTATCAAATGACACTCATCTTTGACGAAAAACTAGATGTTGTGATCTAGAAATGACGAACTGGTGAATTATAAGCTAAATATGATCCTCTGGTTCTATTTATTTGATCCATGAAGTCATAAGAGAGCCATATTCTCTGCCATACTTATTTCATCTTTACGCTCTATAACTTTAAACAGTGTAAAATATTAAAACTATAACAGTTTCCTTTATGCCTATATCTTCTTGAATCTGAATACTATACAATTAGACGATAATGTTAGGAAAATTTGCTGACGATTTGCTACGAGTAAAAACTGTTGAATTCATCAATTTATTTCCATCTTTAAATGAAATTAAATTCATAACAATAAATTTTAATTCCTTTCTTACTATCACCTTAATTCCTTTTTATCTATCACTTTAATTACTCGCATAAACAATAAGCAGTACAGTGTCAACAATACAATTTTCTCATTTGTATTTTATTTATTGAAATGGAATTTCAAATTTTAATTCGTGCCCGATTAAATAAACTGCCAATTCACTTGTAGTAATTGTAGAGAATATTCGTATACTCAATAAAAACCGTTATAGTGAAGAATTTTAAAAGATCGATAAAGGGAAGACTTCAGTTTTCAAAACTATTTAATTATGAAAAAATTTTATAAAACTTTTTTTCATATAAAGCATACCTTCGTGAAGCTATTTTAATTCGCAAAATTTTTGAGAGAAAAAATATCTTATTTATCATCGAAATGATGTAGAAATATTTTTAAAGGAAACAAACTCAGTACTGTAAAGCAGAAACTTTATATTTTAAAATGATCCAGATAGATGAAGTTACAGTAATTTAAAACTTTTGATCGATTAAATCTTATCGAACAAAAATGTTGTCGATAATTTAAGCTACTATAACTTCATGAAAAAAATTCCACAACAATTCACACTTAAACTTATTTTAAAATATAAAATCTCTAGAATACTAAAGTGATTTTTTACGTACGTTTAGTGATAATTTTTTAAAGAATTGTATAAAAAATAGATAAATGGTTCAAAATTAGCTACATGTTATTTATGCGACACTTGTTTGTTTTTTATACGGCAAATTCTAAAAATTCTTTCCAAATTCATCAATTTTCAATCTCAATATATTTTGACATAGGATGACATGTGCAAAAATAACGAAAGATTTTTATTATAGCTGTATAAATCATTCTGCCTAAATCAGCCTTTAGAATTTCTTTTGACATGAAATATTATAATTATGATATTAACTCTTTAACTCCTTCATTTCTCTCGGAATGTCGTTTAAAAAATTATCAATTTTCTTTATTTCTGTTTTGTAATGTATTTACAAGGACAAAGAAACACTTTGAACAGTTTTTAAAAATTTGTTGTTTACTAAGAAATTATTACGTGTATAATTGTCACTTGATTATTACTAATTATACCGATTTGCGAAATCGATGCATTACAGTTTACAGCAAATTTGACGTTGGGTCAAGTTAATTTGTTTAGAATAGTTCAATTGACCCAAGATAATTTAGATTAAGGAGTCAAAGAATTAATGCTTGATACATTATACCTGAAATAAATGACGTTACTTGTGTCGTATATTTTCAATATTATGAAATAATATCTTACAAACCAAGAGAAAATAAAAAAACAAAAATTCCGTTTTCTATAACTTATAAATAAATTAGGTGGGGAAAGGACACGGTGGTTTCGTACTTCAAAATGTGAGAATGCTTTTTCGTTGTTATCGAATTTTGAATCGTTCCGTATTCCACAGTAATCTACGAGAGAAACGTAAAATCGATTTGCCCAATAAACCGAGCAAGATGACGAGCTGCATTGTCAACAGTCCAATTTGTACGGAACCTGGTATATCAGCGCCTAATCGAATTCCATCGGCTGAAATGGTAACGAGAATATGCATGCCATCGAAATACATCGATTACTCCCGTATGGTTTTGTAACTCTGAAAATGGATTGATTTTAAAACGAATCTCTATATCCTTTAATAATTGCAGTTGTAAAAATTCTTTTTCTAAAAATATATGAATTTTACATCTTGTGATTAAGTAATTAATTAGTTAAGTCAGTAGATTCTGAGAAAATTATGATAT